ATATGGAGAAACTAGAGCTTAGGAGACATACTACCTTTTCCAAACCATCTTATATAATAAAAGATCAATATGCAAATAAACCAAACAGTGGAACAATAACTGATCGAAGGAACGACTGGTCTCTATGACGCCCAGTGACCACCAGGGGGCAGACGCTCAATGCAGGAGCTGCCCCCTGGTGGTCAGTGCGCTCCCACAGGGGGAGAGCCACTCAGTCAGAAGCTGGGTTCACAGCTGGCAAGTGCAGCGGACATCCAAGGCAGTCGGACATCCCCCAAGGGCTCCAAGACTGCGAGAGGGCGCAGGCCGGGCTAAGGGACCCCCTCCCACACACACACACACAAGTGCACAAATTTCGTATATCAGGCCTCGAGTACAGCTAATAAGTGTCAGAGCTGGGACTTGAATCCAGGCTGTCAGACTCCTAGATCCTTCTTGTAACTGTTGGTCAGTCATTCATGGCAGTGGGACACTCTTCTGTGTCCCTTAATGATTTCTCACTTTTCTCCCCCATGACCTCAATTGGTTCAACAATGGCAGACTATCTCATTTTAAAATGAACAAAATATTGTGCATTTTTGGAAATATTGCTCCTGTGCTATTACTCATGAAAGGCAAGGTCTTTTGCTGGTAATGCTTGTTAGGTGGTATTTATGCTGACATCATAGATATTACTTAAAGATGACACTTTTGATGGTAAATATACATATCATGGGTCCATTTTTTTATCAATTATTTTATACTAGAGGCCCAGTGCATGAAATTCATGCACTGGGGGAGGGGGTGTCCCTCAGCCCAGCCTGCACCTTCTCCAATATGGGACCCCTCGGGGGATGTCTGATGGCCAGTTTAGGCCCGATCCCTGTGGCATCAGGCCTAAATCGGCCGTCGGACATCCCTCTCACAATCTGGGACTGCTGGCTCCCAACCGCTCGCCTGCCTGCCTGCCCATAACCATTTCTGCCTGACAGCAGTTGCCCCCAACTGCTCTCCCCTGCCAGCCCAATCGCCTCCAACTGCCTTCCCTGACAGCCCTGTCACCCCCAACTGCCCTCCCCTGCTGCCCGGGCACCCCCAACTGTCCTCCCTTGCCAGCCCAGTAACCCCTAACTACCCTCCCCTGCAGGTTTGGTTCCCCCCAACTGCTCTCCCCTGCTGGCCCTGTTGCCCCAACTGCCCTCCTCTGCTGGTCTGATCGCCCAGAATTTCCCTCCCCTGCCAGCCATCTTGTGGCTGTGGGTGGGGCCATCTTTGAGGGTGGGGAAGTCAATTAGCATATTCCCTCCTTATTGGCTGTGGACGCCGCCATCTTTGCAATGGCGCGAGGGTCACTTAGCATATTCCCTCTTTATTTAGATTGGATGGATATTCATTACTGAGTTTCTCCTATCTAAAATTTCAACTCCTACTAATCTCCAACATTTACCATTTCATATTCCACTCCCTTATTTTTCTATATAACTCTTATCACCAATATATTAATATACAAGGGTGGGCTAAAGTAAGTTTACAGTTGTTCATATAGGAAATAATACAATAATTAATAAATAATAATACAAGAATAAACAGTTTCACTTACTCACAACTGTAAACTTACATTTGTCCACCCCTATATTTTACTTTCCTTGTTTATTGTCTGCCTCCTTCTCTAAAATATAATTTCCATAAGGACACACCATTTTGTCTGTTTTGTTCACTACTGTATCCCATGCACCGATTGAATGAAAATTCAATAAATGTCAGCTAAATAAATCAACATTTGTGTATAGACAGTATTCTTAGGATTTATGTTATTTGGATGATTGTTGTGGAATGGAGTAGAGAGCAATATCTGAGACTAAGCTTTCAGGAGTATTAGCATCTACCTGTACATATTCTCACTGCTATTATGTTATATACCAAAGGAAACTAAAGCCCATAACAGGAATATAAGATCACTAGATGAGGCAGCCATCTCAGAAGTGTGGAGGAAGATCACGTTTGCATGTTAGCTTCTCCTCTCTCTCCTGATAATATCATCAGCAGTTAGGACTGACATGTTATGGAGGGATGAATCTTAATGAGGAGGTAGCAGTGTGGTAATTAGCAGCATAGCTGATGGTCTCAGAACACCGGGGTTGAATTCTCAACTATTTCACTTAATAGCTCTATAAATATTAGAAGTCACTAATATTTTAAGCCAAATTTATTTATCCTGAGACTTCAAGGAATTCTTCAACCCTATGAAACTGTTAAAACCTACTGTAGGAAGAGACTGGATGCTTCTCTCTGGGGAGATCTAGAGTTTTCATCAAATTTTCAATGTCTCAGAACTTACAATACTCTGGGCATCAAAGACCAAGTGATATTGTTATAAATAAATCTGCAAGATGCATTCCTTTGGATTGGCTTAAAGTCCCTCAAGGCCAGTCAGACTTGTGATATTTTGCAAGCCATTAATATTTCTCTGTTTTCTAATTACCTCAAATCTACATAAACCAGAGCTGCAAAATAGAATTTCACTATGATTACAATCACCTTTCCACAGTTGAGGTTAAATGATTTGCCTACATGACAAAGACACCTCATACATACATTTATTTTTAAGAAATTATATTTTATTGTCAATAATAACTATGTATCTCTCTCATAGGAATGTAGCTTATTGAGAGTAAAAGCATCATGCTTTACTCATTTTTGCGGTCTCAGCATCTAGAAAGTATAAAGCACGTATTACACACAAAAATTTGTTTGCTCTATAATAACTGAGCTGGATATTAGTCTCAGGTCTTCTCATTGTAAATCCTCAGCATAGTCCCATTTAATTCAGTCACATCTTTTCATAAAATTAGTCTAATGGGGAAGTCTCTTTCCTTTGTTAATATACTGTTTCAGCATTTTTTCTTACTATCTTCCTCAGCTAGGGAACTAGTTATTAAGCGAACTGTTCTATTGATATCATGGAAAGGAAAGTAAGCATGAATCAAGAGTCTAACAAAAAGCGAAATACATAGGTTGTTTCTATTGAAATCAGATGGAAACTAAAGTCAATGATATATTCTAAAACAATTGAAAAGTAGTCACTTATGAATACTTTATTTTTTAATAAGCTCAAGCAACCAATCACAGTAAACCTCCTATATCATTTTCTAGGGATCTGATCATACTTAGGGCCACTAGTTGCATTCACTCTGTCCCCCTGGTATCTGCATCAAATATTATCAAATTTTCACATTTCATATTCTCAAGTCTTCTTTTTTGATACATTTATACCTCTGTTGCATTTCCTGATTGTGTTCTTCTGTTTTATTACACTAAATTACTCCTAGACACATTTTTAAATCAGATGAAGAGTATCCACCCAGCATTGGAGCTATGTATTGAAAGTAATGGGAGTCCATTTGCAGAGAATCATAATTAACAGGCAAGGAGAATAGAGGTGAATAAAAATCTTAGGAAAGAATAAAAAAAGTGGGCAGTAGGATCACAGATAATAGTAATATTCGCATGTTGATTTTTTTCTTATGTAATCTCAGTGCAATATCCAAGGAATATTGGTTTATTAATGTGTAAATACTCTCATCATTACATCTAAGATTAAGAGCAAACTGCTTTTAAGGTTTGAATTTCCTTCCTTCCTCCCTCCCTCCCTTCCTCCTTTCCTTCCTTCCTTCCTTCCTTCCTTCCTTCCTTCCTTCCTTCCTTCCTTCCTTCCTTCCTTCCTTCCTTCCTTCCTTCCTTCTTCTTTCTCTTTTCTTCTTCCTCTTCTTAACTGTCATTTGTTACTCTCTGCACTTTCTGAACCCCATGAAGTAAAAATTTTAGGACCCCAAATGTCCCCAAAGGTTATGCAAAGATGCATCATGTGCCTGATGCAAGAACACATTCCTGAGTATTGTACCGAGACTGTAGAGCAAGTTGCAATACACTATAAATATATAAGCAAATACAGAAAGAATAAAATTCCATTAACTAATGATATTCTCAGACATCTGACTATAAGAAAGGTTTATAGGCAAAAAATTGTATAACTAGGTCATTCTAGTACTTATAAAATAATTCAGATTATGCAAGATCCATTAAGTTTCATATTATATAAATTCAAAATAATTCTTAGCTTCAATTTGGAACATTTTCTTACAGAACATTATTATATTTTGTAAGTGAAAAACAAACTTTACTTTCTAAAGTGTATATATAAATCTATATATCATTGATAAATATATCTAAACTAATAATTTCATTGCACAAATAATTTTGGCAAACAATAGTGTTTTGAATATTTCATGTTAAATTCTAAAATGGAAAAAATAACAGTGCTACTAACTTATTTCACTTAAAATGATAATATATGTGATTTGAAGAAAAAACAACAGTATGTTAGCACTTTTTTAATAGCATGAAAGCACATTTATGTGTCTGTATTTTAAATTTATGAGTACAACAAAATCTTAAAAACGTTCATATGTTTCCTAAATCATATATATGAGGGAGTAATCTTTAATTTTTATTTACCTAGAAGGTCATTTAATAAGTGAATTTGCATTATTTAAACTGATTCATCAAACAATGTCTATGATTGTAAAAGTAGTCATACTATACACAGAATTATACAGAATTCCTTTCACCACAGATTATTATTAAAATTATTTGAGAATAGCATTTGCAAATTCAGATAACATAGTTTCAGTGCAAAAATACACATTGATTTTATAGGGAACTGCTTTATTGAAAAAAATAAAGCACGTCTTTATTTCAAACACTGAAAGACAATGTCTTTGTACTATGAATAAAATAATTATTTTTGAAAACTTAAAAAAATACCTAAAATTTCCCATTTAACAGTAAATATTGCATGCAAAAGACTCTAGCAAATCTTTTTAATAAGTATTAAAATGACCAACAGATCAGCAATTTGCATCACTTCACAAAGAAGATTCCACAGTAAACGACTAGGTCTATGTGTGCATGCAACAGTATAGTATGTTTAGAGTCAAAAAAATAAAGGAAAAGGCAATTACCCTAAAAGACATTTCAAGATTCTCTCCACCCCAGATATCCATTCCTGCATCGTAAGTTCCTATCTCTTCAAAGTAGTTTCTGTCAATAGAAAATAGGCCACCAGCCATAGTAGGGGTCCTAGTTGAAAAAACAAAACAAAAAGAAAAGAATAGCTTTTGAAAACAATATGTGGAGTTTAATGAGACTGTAGCAAATATCTTTGAGACATTTTACATGAAAAATAATACTACTCAAAAATCTCAAACTGAAAACATAAAGCCAAGGTGTAAGAGGTTTTAAAATTAGTAAATAGCATTTTATCATATTTTCTATAAAACTAAATTTAGATTAGACTATTTTTGTTATAGGTGATCATACAGACACATGGAAGGAACACAGGGCACTTATGAGGAGGGCATCTACATTCCTTTTGAAAGCCAAAGAGAAGAGAAGTTAGTGCTCTTTTTACTACCCTTTAAGAGATTACTAATCATGAAACTGCCAGTTGTGATCTTTTGTCATCTGATTATAAATCATTTTCATGTGAAAATGGGTTTTCTATGGAAATATCTATAGCCTATATAAATATGAAAAATATTGAATGCTATAACATGTTTATAGACAGTTAAGTAATGAGAATTACAAAAGTATTTTCAAACATCAGAGCTTTACATCTAATCACATATTCTTCTCTTTACCCAACTAAAATAATACAATCAATCATATAACACTGGAGAAACATAGATCCCTTTGCTATGCAGAGATTTAAAGTAAATTTGGCACAGATGCTAACACTTTTCCCTATAAATAAATGCTTTTGGTTCACACATTCGAAACTTCTCTATAAGAACTAAGAAGTCAAATGTTTCCTTTTAAATGGTTAATTACTTTTAAAAGATCATTAAAGCAATGTTGATGCGTGAATTATACAAGTCTTTCTATACAAGTATTATAAATTTAACTAAAAAAGTGTGGCTTAGTTGATTGGGCATAGTCCCGTGTATCAAAAGGTTGCTGGTTGGATTCCAGATCAGGGTACATGCCAGGGTTGGGGGCTCTATCCCTGGTAGGGAGCTTGCAGGAGGCAGTCTATTGATGTCGCTCTTTCTGTCTCCATATCTCTTCTCTAAGATCAATAAAATATTCTTTATTTTTTAAAAAAGAAAGAAAATTCTAGTTGTTCACAACTGGATCTGTCTACAATAGCAATTATTATTTTTGAACATTAATTGTGCACATTAGCACACCTGACGAACTTCAAAAAAAAAAGGCATTTCCATGCTTGGGTACCACTCTCCATAAATTCAGATTTCATTAACAGGAGGTGGGGCCAGACCTTGGATATTGTGTAAAGTTCCCAGCTAATTGTAAGGTGCTGTTCAAGAGGAGAAACACTGGTCGAGTAACTGATTTGGAATGTTCATCCACCTAGTCTGAGACTGGTAAAAAACAAAACAAATGTTTTGCTTTTCTTGAAATTACATCCTCTTCTGCCACAGGATATGCTCATGTCCTCTAATTGAACAGTACAGTTGAATGAAAAACCACCAAATAATATTGTACTTGGATAGCTACCAGACTGTGAAGTTCCTGATTTCTCCCTGCGCTCTCACTGCTTTATACGCAGGTAATTAACTGCCCATCAGTTGGAGAAGCACAGGCTCTCTTAGTCTCGGGGCAGTTTTATTACCTCTGGTCTTGCTGAGCTCCTATCAGGAACAGCATCACTGACCTTCTGAATTATAATGAGAAACACTAACAAAGTGAAACAGATGGTACTTATGGTAGCCACAACCTTCACCTGACTGGGGTTTTGAAACTCTGTGGCAATAACTATATATGGTACTAGAGTGATGGACAGCTTATATAATGAAACGAGGAACCAAAAACTGCTGCAATTATCCTGTCATAATGCCACCAAGTGCTTAAGAATGTTAAGTGATGCATTTTTAATGATCAGTTCAGAGTGCCTATCCACTTATCTACTTACTAATAAAGGACTAATGCATTCAAGTTAAATACCAGTATTGATTTTCATCTTTCATTTTGGTCATAATTCCTATAAATGTGTGAGAAATGTATAATAAGTGGCTATAATAAATCATATATTTACCATAGGAATGACCCAAAAAGTTTCATTTAGTCTTGAAAAGTAACAAAAATAAAATGGCAACTCAAAAAAAAGAAAATCCTGTGTTTCTGAGGAAATAAGCTGCTAGAGACAATTTTTTGTCTTTGTAATGTCAGCTCTCTCAAATAGTCTATGGACCATTCCTTAAATGATATCTACAGCAAAAGCCAGTGTTACGCAACATGTTCTGTTCTAAGTCAACTAAATGAACAATTTATATATGCCTGTGTGAACCTTAAGTGTTCCGGTACCTGGAAGATAAAGACCTTGATTATAGTTGAATTATCTGAGATTATATTCTTTTTAATATTTTGTTTATACAATGTCACACCAACCAACTAATTCATTCAATGGAGGGGGTGGGGCAGAGCTTAATGGCTATGAACGTGACCTACTACATAGTAGGTAGGTGAAGATGAATTAATAGAAGAAAAACACTTAGCACAGTGCTCAGCACATAATAAAGTTAGGTCATATATCTTTGTTGTTGATGTAATCATTTAAACAAAAGACTTGAGTGTCCTTAATTTTTAGCTCCCCACAAACATACCCTCATTTTGGATTTCAAAATCATTTGGAACTATTTTCATATCCAAGACATTGAACTCTGAAATCTGCCACTCTGAACACAATTTTCTATTTTATAAGCCCTCCTGTTTCAATCCATGGAAGTCATTTTTTATTCTTCATTGGTGATTTTGGTTTCTTAGCTCTTCAATGTTCTCACATAATAATCGCCTTCAGGAATTGCTTTCTTTCTCCCACTGCCTCTCCAAGATTCAGTAATGTCAAGGAAAAAACTAGCCTAATCCCCTAGGTTCTCTGCCCTTGACTTATATAACTCATTCTCTTTTTGTAAATATAGTACCTGGGTAAAATTAACCTTTACCTCATCTATTTATGCTCCCTAGACCCACAGAGTCATTGAAAAAGTAATATGAGTTCAACTGGTCATACTGGAAGTTCATGTTATTATTGACTCTCTGCTTAGTCCAGAAATTGCTAAGGATCCTTGTATCTATGTTTATTTGCTCACTTGTCTCATTTTAACTGAAACTTTTCCAAAAGTTTGGGACGCTTCTCTAGAAACTAGAGATTGAGTCAATGCATAAAATGTGAACTCCCTCACTCTCTACCTATATCTCTCTCTAGATAGATGATACATTGATAGATAGATAGATAGATAGATAGATAGATAGATAGATAGATAGTTATTTAAAAGTAAGTGGAAAAATAAGTTGTCATAGTTATTTTTAAATAACTACTTATTTTCTTTAAAAAAATCTTTCTGACTCTGCTCAGGGTGCTTTAGCACAGAACTGAGAATGTGCTATTCCTTTTATATCTGCTTCTCTTTCAATGTCCTCTATTTCCTTCCAGAGCCTTAATATAAAATGATGAAAATGCCTTTCAGCACCTTTAATTTTTGTTCATTCATTCATTTCCCAAATACTTCTAATTTCTTTCCAAAGCACTTTTGCTGCTTCTCTGTGTTCTGTTATCATGGTCACTATCTAATTTTAGTGCCATATTTCTGTGTGTTAATGGAATCCTCTTGCTTTTAGAGTCTGCTGCTTCCAAAATGTATTCTATAAACCACAGCCAGATTAATTTCTTTAAATTAAAACTCTCTAAAAAATGCTAACCAGATGTTCAAAACCCTATTTTAAGGAATAAATGCTAGCTTCTTATCCTGGCACCAGGGATCTGGAGTCACCCAATGAGCTCCATCTATCCTTTGAACTACTTCCCTGTATTTAAAGTGTTTAGCTTTTACTACTAAACGTTTCACACTTTCTCACCTTGGTACATATGTTCAAATCTATTTGTCACTTTCATTTTCCTTTTAAACACCTGCTCTATTCTTAGGCCATTACAAACACAGATTCCACGCAGTCTGCCCTTAGTACAATCTAGATGTAATAATTCCTTCTTCCTTCTATAACACCCTGTTTCTGCCTCAAGGCACTTGTGACTGTTATCAAATATTATATATTATGTCTATATACATTTTACTACTTCTGTAAGAATACTCAATATATTGGTTTAAAAGCATTAGACTATTAATATATGTTTACTGAATAGGTAAAATTTAAAAATGAGCAATATATTTCATGGACAAAAAACAATCTATTTAAAAGTTTAAATTACTTACAATTTTATTTTTAAAACTATAACAAAAATCTTGGCTCACACCTGATAAACTGATGAGTAATAAAAATATCTTCATTGATTCCAAGATTTTTAAAGCCTTTAAAAGGGGTTTTGGGGGTTCAGTGTGATAGTACTTCAGAATTAAAGATATAAAGATTTATAACAATGTAACATATTAAAGGACTCCAAAAAGTATTTGACATAAAAACATAACTGTATCTTTTAAGCAGAAGTTGAAAAACTTTTTAAATGATAAAATAAATGTGATTACTGAGTGATGTTAAAATGCAATGCCTGCATTTTCACTGAGAAGATAATGTATCCTACATTTCACACTGGGATTATCACAATATGTGTGAAAAGCAGGCTCACAGTAAGGAGTCTCTAAGAGTCAGCTACAGTTAGTTTTTATGAGTATGGTCTTAGTATCTAGTTCAAAACTCATCCCCACAGATGACTTTCAGCAAGCCACCTAAAGTCTGTGCCTCAATTTCATCATCTATAAAATGGGGACATGTGTTAATGCATGCAACACTTTAAGCATAGAACCAACAATAGTACAAAGTAAGTACTACACATTATAAATATGATTTTTACTTAAAAAGAAGAAAACATCTGTGTTTGCCAAGATTACAATCAGCTTAATATTTTATTGGTTTTAGAGTCCAATTAATTTTTAATAGAACTATAGTATTTTAGAGCTACAGAACCCTACAGATTTTGTCAACAAAATTTAGTCACAATGTGTTTAAATGACTTGTTCAAGGACTACAAGTAGTGAGTGGCCCAGTTAAAAAAACAAACAAACATATTTTCTTTCTTTCTCTCTTTCTTTCTCTCTTTCTTTCTCTCT